GCCGTGCTGCGAGGTCGGGTGTTCGGCATGGACCAACAACACGCGTGCCTTGACCACGCCGAGCTCCTCCCGCAGCTCCTCGTTTGTCCGCTGCAGCTCACTCACCGTCTGCTCAAGGTGCGTGCTCCTGCGCGACGTCGTCTCCAGCCGCTGCGTGTCGACGGTTATCTGGTCCTCGAACCGGTCGAGCTGCGCCTCGTTGCGCTGAAGCTCCTTCTGCTTCAGCGCGTGCACAAGGAAGGTGACGCGACCCTGCAGCATCTTGCTCCCCGCGTCTGTCACCTCCCTCGCGCGCTTCCGCCGCCGCCAGCCTCTCCCCTGCTGATCACTTGGCGTGAGGCAGCCCACCTCCTCCCGCAGCACCCGCAGGGGACCGACAGCATGCGCCCTTGACTGCGGGAGACCCCCAAACACACACACACACGCAAAACGACAACCACAAAAGGGGCGCAAAAAGCCGATCAGCACGCAAAGAGCAAAACCAAAACCAAAAGCAACAGCAACAAAAAGGCCACCGGGGGAAACCTCCAACCGACGCCACTCATAGAGCCGCCTACACAAATTAAAAGCTTAAATTTTAAACATTATTCCATTCAAAATACAACAACAACAAAAAGCCGACTTATCGGCCACCAAAAACCGTGCAAGAAAAAGAGGCAAATAAACCGAGGCACACACGAATTCAACCTGCACTTACACCACAAAAGAAGGGATTACCAATGCACATATATAAAGAGCTTCAAAATGAAATTAAAACTCCTCAACAACGCGCCTCCCCTTTTGCATCTATTACCAAAAACCAAAAAAAAAATGGCATGCCTCATGTCAAACAAACAAAAAAAGAAAATAATAAACACATATTACACCTCACTTATAGTAATTTTATTGGGCTCCTACAGGCGGGAGACTTCCACGTAGCGGGGGACGGCGCTCTTCATCTCCTCCGATGCCTTCGCCGCAAGGCGCGCGTTGAAGCTCTTCTGGAACATCTCCACCAGCTCCTTTGACGTGTCGTTGAACTGCTTCACATCCTTCCAGGCCTTGCGTGGATTCAGCAGGTGCGTCGGCACATTGGCGACGTGCTTCGGGATGTGCAGGCCCCAGCCGGGGTACACCTCGTACTCCCCCTGGTCGAGCGAGCCGTCGTGGATCGCGTCGATGATCGCACGGGTGACACGCAGCGGCATCCGCTTCGCACCGCGGTCCGCGCGGCCGCCAGCGTAGCCGGTGTTCAGCAGCCACACGCGGCTGTTATGCTGCTTCATCTTATCCGCCAGCTGCTCACCGTAGAACGTCGCGTGGCGCACGAGGAACGGCCCACCGAAGCACGACGAGAAGACCGGGCGAGCCGTGCGAGTGTTTCCAGCCTCAACGCCAGGAACGTTTGCTGTGTAGCCAATCACGAACCAAAACATCGCCTGCGCGCTCGTCAGCCGCGCCACTGGCGGCATCACGCCAAACGCGTCGTTCGTCAGGAAAATGATGTTCTTCGGGTGACCGGCGACGGCCTTGCTCAGTGCACCCTCGATGTG